CGGATGTTCATGTTATTTTTATTGAGTGCATTAGTGGGTGCCGGGGTCTGACTGATGATGACTCTGGATGCGGAATCAAAGGATTGCCAGGAAAAATGGATGACGCTTTATTTGTTCGTATGTTTCGTCATCAACTGTCTGGAGAAAATGTATTAATAGTGTATGTGGGTCGATGGGAAGCAAAACTAATACTCTTTTCACAATACTTTTCTTCTCACCTGATATAGTCCAAAATATATATGCCGCTATTAAGAACAACAACAGCACTAAACTGTTAGAATAAATGTCAAATATCAGGGACTTATGGGTACTCTTTCAGTAGCATGCAGCGAAGAAAGAAATAGGAATTTGAGAAGTAACATTTGTCTCTTTTTATTTTTTCCCCATTAAGATTTATGTTTACAATTTATATGGATATAACAGAGTGCGTTTTTTAGGTGCTGTCTGTGAGTAGTCAGGATCTCAGGATATTTTTCTTTTTTTAGCGTCCTCTGCCATGTCATAAGATGTCATGTCAAGTGAAAAATAGTTCAGCTTTTAAAAATGTCTGACTGTCTCTGTGTTCTGCTCTGTCTAGCTGATTTGAATGCAAGAGCACATATGAACAGCCCCAGCATGATGCCGTAACGTTACGATTATAACGTAAGACTATAGAAACAATGACAGACATTAGCCTCAGTAAAGTTAGCTTCATTCATTGAGAGAAAATGTGCGCCTTTGGGGTTTGTAGTCTTTGTAATTACGTATTTTCACAGTCTTATACCTCAACAGTTTTACATCAAACTGCGACTTTCTTTACTTTAAAATGTATATTTTAAATTGACAAACAAGATATGTGCAATTCAAGATCAAAATATTTGTTGTCTCTCGCCATTGACTACCATGCAATATTTTTCCGAAATAAGGTCCCATGGTGGTCGACCGGAAGAGGAGGGACTTAGGCTCTCTATTGAATACTATATCCACAATTTTCCGGGGGGCGCTCCTGTAAAAAATAAAGTGGGTGAAACTTCCGGCAAGGCGGCGGAAGTAGCATTCCAATGGTATTTTGTGTGTTAGTTAGCGAAGAGGCTAGTTGTTTTTCGGAGAATTATTTTAGTATTTAAAGACGCAAATCTTTATGAGAGATTTCGTTACGGAGCTCAGGGACAACATGTGCTGTTCGCGGTTGTACGTATAACCAGACTAAACTAATTCAGTGACTTAAACGTGATTGTTTTGAACATAAGCCGAAAACGAATTCAGAGTGATCCTGCCAACGACTGTAGTTTCCATCACCTCCCAAAAGACGACGAATCTTCCTGTGTACATTTGTTTAAATTCTTAATATTCTATAAACTCTCTCAGCATGTGATTGAAATGCTAAACTCGGCATTACCTAAACTCAGGATCAAAGCCTGAGTTGACAATACCAAATGTGCCAGTTAATTCAAGTAGCACATTCATTTATAATTTTGAATAAACTCCAAAGCTCAATGACTAAGTGTGTATTTTTTTATTTTAATTGTTTGTCAGCTCACACAACTGTCTGTCACCATGCCTTGATGAGTATTGATTATTAATAATGTTATTATAATACTCCCAACCAACTACTGCGGAGGGTAAAGGTACTGTTATTTCACCCTTTTTAATTTTGTTGAGGTTGTGTTCCCACATCGTTAGCTAGTTTGGATCGCTATAACTTGAATGAATGTAAACTGTTGAATGAACGAGTGTCAAGCATGTCAAGTCCATGGTCAAGTCGCGCTTTGTTTACTTCGAACCGGAAGACGCGCCCACTTTTGACACAAGGCCTCATGGGGCGTAGGAAACTTGTGGATATTTTAAAATAGCAATATGCTAACATCCAAGTCGTCTCACGAGTTGAACGAGTTCTAATGAAGTTCCATTTTGATGTTTCCCAATACCATCTTGTGGCAATTCGTAACGATGGTTTGGTGAATTGATGGTTAATTTGTTTCTAATCTAATTATGTTTAGGGGTTGGTTGGGGTCACATCTGAAATCAAACTAAATTGGCACCTCATAAAATGGTTGTTTTCCCTTGAGATTGGGTTGTGTTGCCTCATTAAGGCAGACACACACACACACTTAAATAGCTGCAGTGAATGTGAGTGTTAAGTTTCACATGAAATCAGTATCGTCAGACAGTTGGTTGAAGGTATATGTGTGAGATTGATATGCAGGCATTGGAGGCACGTGAACTATCTGTCCACTGAGGAGAGCGATGACGCACTCCATTTGAAAACCGTCTGCCTCACTGCAGGAAGAGTGCAGCGCTCTGAGAAAGTGTGATTAGAGATAAATGACTGTGAATGTGTGCACCCGCACAAGTGTGCGACTTTGCATACGCAATTCATAAACTCTCCAAATGTCTGTGGCGCCAGAATCTGCCAAGAATGTGACTCAAACATCTCACATCTCCTCTCACTCCTCCCTGCATTTTATTCACCGCTTCGCACACTATTTCAGCCCTGCTGATGTCTCTTGCAGTCTGTCTGATCTCTCTTTCTCTCTCCTTTTGGTACCCTTTCAAGTTTTAACGTCATCCACTGTCTCTTTCATCCATTTGCGCAGAGAAATACGCGTTTAACGATGCTTATACTTTGAAGGCACATTAAAACATACAAGATGAAAACCTGTCAATGTGTTTAAGGTATAGAAATGGGAGTTGACACACCCTCCCCACTCTTTATTTTCATCACTCAACAGATAGTCTCTCTGGTAATGAAAACATCATTAAATGTTGGGCATTAATTATAAATCCATATTTGGATTCATTGTTAAACAAAGCACCTGTCTCTGAACACCTAATTAAACCTAAAAGACAGAGAAAAGAGAGGAGTGTCAAGGGAGACAGCTGATGTGAAGATAAAGGTGACATGCTCTTGTCAAGAAGAGCTGGGGAAAAAAATGTTGGTGAGGGATGGGTGAGAGAGGAGCTGATGATGACACGTAGAGCGGAAAGACCGAACGAAGAAAGAGTGTGAAAAAACAGAATGTGTAATAAAGAAAGAGAGCTTTGAGCTGTGCTGAACTGCATGCTAGACAGAGATGTGGGAATGTATTAAAATTATTGATAATTTATGAATGAAATCCCAGTGGCAGCTAGAAATGAGAAATGTGTGATAAGTTTGTAATCATGTTTGTTAGGGAGAAAATGCGATTTCAGCTCTGCAAAAGTGTGCACCTTTCTGCATAAATGAACTAAGCGTTTGTCTGTTTGTAAATTTCGAGATGTACCAGGAACTTTATTTGACATTTCTTTCTCGCGGGGGCGATTATCAACACTTCCAAACACTCACTGTGATGAGCAACTTCCGGTAAACTCACTTGCACACAAACACACACACTCACGTACAAACACAAAGTAAGTCGTCGCTCCTCCCATTTCTGTCTCCCTCACACATATCCCCCATCCAATGACTCATTCTTGAACTAATATTCAGTGATATGACGTGGTCGCCACCCCTCCATTGCCAGCCAACTCATTGTGTCTCATTGTTAAGTAGCGTGGCTGACAGCCAATGTGAATGCAGATGGTGGGTGGGATGGTGAAGGGACAATTTGCGCAACTGTACTTCGTCCAATGGGGCATCGAGATTCTGATGTCTTGCAATCAAAGGCCAGATTCAAAAAATAGCCCCATGCATCATAATTGGCCATAAACAGTTTACTCAATTGATGGATGATTGAGTTGAATATAGTAATCGTAGGCTACAAAAGCATCATTTACAAGACACTGACATATTTAATCTGCAATCAGTGCTAGATGTAACGCAAACAGGCTGAAGATTAAGCATTGGGAAATGAAACAGCCTTCTGGCAGTAGTTTTTATGGACATTTATGTGGAATTGAGAGAAAAGCACTTGAGCCTCTCACCGGGATCGTGTGCGCGCGTTCACGTTTGTGTTAAGCACAGCCTGCCTTAGCACATGGTGGGAGACCGAAGCAAGCTTTCTGCATCTTGCTGCTCTTTCAGTAAGACCCATCTGCTAAAGACAGTACAGCTTTAGAAAGAAAGAAAGAAAGAAAGAAAGAAAGAAAGAAAGAAAGAAAGAAAGAAAGAAAGAAAGAAAGAAAGAAAGAAAGAAAGAAAGAAAGAAAGAAAGAAAGAAAGAAAGAAAGGCTTTCTGAATCTTAATTTACAAAAAACCCAATTCAATAGTACAGCTGGGGTGCTTTGTAATACCTTTTCCAATAACATCATCATTTTGCATCTTCATTTTGAAATGAATTGAAGCTCTGAATGGTGGCCAGTGCGTTGCATGGTAACTGCATGATATAGTGAATGATGTTGCCTTCAAAGAACTTTACAAGCAGTGAGGAGTAGATGTGTGTGCACCAGTGTGTCTGTCTATTTGTCTGTCTGTCTGTATGTGTCAAGGGAGGTCAGACTGAAAGATGCGAGGGAGAGAAGGCACATGTGAGATTGTACTGTAGAGTCGTAGCCGTTGGACGAAGATATAAAGAAAGTACGCCCACACCAAAGATGTTTCGTATCCACAGATAAGCATTTATTCATTTATCATGCTTTCTGTCCGTCAATTTGTGTTGTAGTGAAAAGATTCAGCAGCTCATTTTTTTTCACATTCTTACATTCAACTGCATACATTCTGGGTAAAAAGGTATAACTAATGCTTTGGTCATCTATGAGCGACCTCACAAACATGGTCGCTGGAGAGCACCTCAAGGCAGTTTGACCTTTCCCAACCAGCTGAGATATACATTCCTACGTCATAAAAACAATCATAAGACATACATTTGTCATGGAAACATCTGTGGGACAAAAAAAGCAGTATTATCTGCTTCTCTACTGTCTCAGGGTAAACACAAAACAGGATATTGCTAGAATTAACAGTTGACCAAAAAAAAAAAAAATCTTTTCCTATTTATTAACTTTAGATTGCATTTCTCCTTCTTTATTGGCATGTCCATCCTTTTTCATCCATATCTTCGCCTCTACCGCCCACATCCACCCCTGCTCTCTGTGCTTTTTCTTTTTCTCTCCTTTTCCTTTTCTCTCTCCTCTTGTCCTTGCTCTCTCCCTTAAGCCTTTCGATTCTTTATTGCAGTTTGAAAAAGGGAATAAGTGAGGAACAGCAAATAAAGCCATTGTCTTCAGCATGCCCACAATGAGCAGCCCAAACAGTCTGTTTTTGCACCTACTCTCATCACAACAGTGACCAATGGTAGACATAACTCTGAATGCCGACCAATCTGTCAGTTAGCGCATTTTACTGATATTCCAATTGGCTTTGGCCCAAGTAGTCAATTCCCATTAAGAAACACATCTTTCCACAGTGTCCTCAATATACTGCCTCGTCTTGGATTCAGTCTTAGTTTTAGCATTAGCATTTTGCTAATTCTTTTTTTTTTTTTTTGACTAGCTGCAAGCTGTTGATTGATTGGTTTAGTTTTAAATCAACACTTCAAATGAAAAAGGATGGAATTTGCTGTTATCCAGATTTGAACAGAACAATAAAAGAGCAAAAGTCTTGTAACAATGTAGGTTGTGTATTTTACAGTAATAACATGTTAACAGTATTTTGACAAAAATAAAAAACATTCGCACATTCTCGTACCATTGATCTTTCCATGCACTGACCATTGCAATAATATCACAGACATTACTCACAGTGGCATCCTTGGCCATTCAGAACAGTGACAAACATAAGGCCTTTCATAGCGCTATTTACAGCTCCCTCTGCCAACATGTCATATTTACACAAGTGATAATTGCTGTCATAGCTAGTTGGTGATGTAATGAAATCTCTCGCCTTCTCTTGTGCGTACTCTCTGTCTCTCTTTCTCTTGCGCGTGCTTTCTCTCTCTCATCTTGATTTAGCTGTGTTGTAACACTTTCAAACTCCTCACTCCAGTATGCTTCGTCTATCTTGCTTTGTTGCTGCACGGCGTTCCTTTGTGCCTTTCAAGCCCTGAATGGTTTTGAGACCCTTCTGTTATAATAGAGGAAATATTACATTCGATCACTCCCAAGGGGAATAAAAAGATTTGCTCATTATTCTATTGTTACCAGTAACTACTGAAAAAAATCGAGCTGTAGCGTTTATTGGAAAGAGGGTGTCATGGTGACATCACAGGCGATAATTACAACTATCATAGAAGCACTTAGAGTGGCTGAAAAGTCTAAAAGCATACAAATATTGTACGTAAACATAAGATGGAAATTTCTATCCTCTGTCTGCACTGACTGTGACAGAAATGGCTTAGAATACACTTGTCCTTAAAAAAAGAAGGACCGAGTATCTGCTTAACTAGCCAAGCCCTGTGAACAGTTTTCATTACTTTCCATTAAGGCCCTGTACTGCCCAACGTTCCCTGCTGACCCACTGTATCCTAAATCAGTGTAGTGCCCTCTAGATACCAGGAACTAGAGGCTCAAACTGAACAGAACAAAGATACAGGTGAGGTTGATGGTAAACAGGAATCAAGGCATTGAAGAGTTAAATCGAGCAAACGTGATTTTCCCTCCTCCAGAGAGGAGAAAAAATGAAGGGGAAGAGGGTTCTTCTGACATATTCAGCCAAACAGAAGATGGATGCAGACAGTCAAAACAGACATAGAGAGTAGCAAGAGAACAGAAGACGAGGAGCGAGAAGAAGAGGAAGATGGTGGCAGAGAGTCAAATTCGGGAGGGCACTCAAGCTCGAAGCAGCGGAGGGAGGTGATGCCCGCATCTTCATTGCCGTAGTTGGCCCAGTACTCTTCCGGGTCAAGCTTGGGAAGCAGAGCCTCTTCCTCCCCGAGCTCGTACTTTGTGGATGTAGATGTGATAGAGGGAAGTTGGGATTTTCCTCCATTTAAGGGGTACGCCCTGGTCTCTGAGCTTTTCTCATAGATACCCTTCGAGGTGCTGACGGGCTTGTTCTTGGAGAACCACCAGCGGGTCTTGGTGCTGAAGGTGGTGGTGGTGGAGCCAGCGAGGGAGCCGGGGTCGGGTAAGGGGCACAGGGCGAAGTCCATCTCCCTCAGGAAGCGCAGGTCCTGTCCACGACGAGGAGCTGGGGAAGCGCACAGAACCTCTGAGCTGGACAGACGGGCACCTCTGAAGAACTCCCACAGGGGACGAGCCTCGCAGCCGCATGCCCAGGGGTTGTTGTTCAGCCGCAAGAACTCGATGGAGGAGATGTCGCGCATGGCCTGACCGGGCAGCTCTGCCAGGGAGTTGTTGAAGAGAAAGAGCATGGTCAGCCGGCCCAGGTCGCGGAAGGCGCGGCGATTGACCTGACGGACCCTGTTGTCGTGCAGTAGCAGGCGATCGAGGTTGACCAGGCCATGGAACACGTTCTCGGACAGAGTGCGAATGCGGTTGCCGTGCAGGAAGAGCTGGCTGAGGTTGATCAAGTCGGAGAAGAGATCGTCCTGGATGAAGTGGAGCTGGTTTTCCTGCAGGTAGAGGAACTGCAGGCTGTAGAGCTTGTGGAAGATGTCATGGGGAAGGGCGGCTAGCCGGCAGCGGTGCATGTGGAGGCTCTGAAGCTTCTCCAGGCCACGGAAAGCTCCGCCCTCAAGGCGGTGCAGGTGAGGATTGTCACCCAGATCGAGCTCCTCCAGATCGCGCAGCTCGCTGAATGCACCAGCCTCAATCCAGGTGATGTTGTTGGAGAAAAGCCACAAAACCTGGAATGGGATGAATTGGTGGACAGAAAGGAAAGGAAAAGGGTAGAGGGAGATGTTGAGAAGGAAGACAAAATTAGTAAATTGAACAACCAAAAGGACTGTTACCTTTCAAATGTATATTAAATGTTTTGTTCTGTTCTGTCCCATATATAGAGCCCGCATACACTTCCTTACCTGTGTGCCAAAAGCAAAAGACCCCACTCTCAGTTCAGTGATGCGGTTGTTCTGCAGAAAAACGCGCTGGGATTCTAAGGGCATGCCGTGGGGAACAATGGTGAAGTTCTGCGCCTGGCAGCTCACAGTCATGGGGGTCGGGTAACACACACACCGGTGAGGGCAGTTCTGCGCAGGCACGGGTTTTACCACGACCAGCCAGACCACCAGCCAGAGCGAGAGCGCGCCTGAGGGAAAGAGAGGAGCGCGTCACATCACAGAGTCTTATAAGGGCATGTTTCCTGCTTAATGTCTAGAACGGAGCTCTTCTGGTATGTAAGTCTCATTTTACAAACATGAAAATAAAATACAAACGATAACAACGACTACTGATTTTTGAAAAATGTTCAAAATGTATGAATCTCAAAACGAATTTTCTACAAATTAACTAAAACGTTTTCTCCAAATACAACGTATTTGTTTCATTTATGTAAATTGTGAAAATCATTTCTCTCGTTATTACGCGATATAATAAGTTTCAACTCCTAAATTGAAAGTTAATTTTCACGTTTTCATTTTAAATTTGAATTTATCACTGCAGGTTGTCACTTACAAACTTAATACAACAATTTAGATTTTTTTTACATCCAAAACATAATTCTCTCCATATAAATGTATTTCCAAGTTCAGAAAACATTAATACACGTACACTTGGTACAAATCAAATATTAATCTAAAGCACTAAAACATTAATGCAAAACATCGCAGCACCAAAGAAATATATATATATATATATATAACAACCAACTGTCCTTGCATAAAGCCATGCACATTTTCAAATGTGGTCATATTCTAAATTCTTGAATTATTTTAAATGCATTCATTTCCATTAGAACGGCTAAGAAAGGTAAGCATTTATAAAGCACAATCAGACTAAAGATAAAAATTAAAGAAGCAGAAACTCACTCTTAAAGTTGTGCGCAAAGGAGCGTTGGCTCCGCGTAAAAGTTGATGTTTCCATTCCGAACCAAAGCCGAGAGCGAGTTAGCCTAAGGAGTTTAGCCACTGATTCCTTGCTATCTCCGCTGATGCTCTGGTTCCTGAGTCGGAGCGACTGAGAGAGTGCCGAATGATGGGTCCTGGGCCCGTTTTATACTCGAGAAGAGCGCGCGCCTACGGCTGTGGGCACCACGGAATCTCTCTACGTCACTAGTCAGGTCAAGCCCAAGCGAGGGTGGCAAACGGAAAAGGCGGAACGGTGAGAGGAGGGGAGGGCTCTCGCGCACCAGTTTGGACCGAGGGAAGTTCGACGTCTTTGCTCAGAGTTACGATTGTGGAGACGTAGTTTGGAAAGGGTGGGGGAGCGCAGGCACAGTGCCCGGCATGCGAGGACGAGCGCACGAGGCACATGAGAGAAACACACAGCTCGTTTCTTGGCTTTGAAAAATCAGATCTGCCTCTCTTTGGATTATGTTGTCCTCCGCATTATTAATGAAACAAACGCATTGTTTGTGCTCTAGAGACATAAGAGTCATGACTTCAAATATAGAATATAAAGCTTTAACACTGAGATAATCGTTAAGGGATTTATGGTAGAATAAAGCAATCACTGGCATTTACTGCTGAAAGGAAAGAAAAAACTATACCAAATTTGGTCAACAAATGGGCAGCTTCCTGGAGTCTTAAGAAACGTTATTTACTTCAAAGCTTTTTTTGTAATGCATGCACAGGCCTGTATGGTATCCTATTAGATTCATTAAACGTTTATACCGTATGTGAAAAGTGCTTCTTATGCTCTTGCATTCCTGTATATTGCTCCAGAATTAACCCAGACAAGATTAGGACCCTGACACAAAATAAACAAATAGATGGACATGAAATATTGATTTGATTTGAAATTATATGTACAAAGGTGTGTCCAGGAAAACTGAACTCAGTCAGTATTGAACAGCAATTGTTTTTTAAGTTATATTGCTTCTTACGTTTCTCACAAAGACCACAAAGAGAGCAAACACGAGCACAGTTTTGTAGGTAACAGAGTTTTAGGGAGAGTGGTCAGGTATACAGCACTGCCCTAGCCATTATTAGAATACCATGACTGACCAACCAGAATCAGAGAGCCTGGTAATAAACAGACAGACAAACTGAAAGACGGTAGACCCGAGGATGTCCATGTTGTTGTTTAGCGCCTCCTCCATTCGCTCATGTTCTGGACACCTCTCTCTTTTCCTCCCTCCCTCTCCACCTCCACAAAAACTCAAGATGACTGGACGAACAGGCTTTCCCCGCTCCACCTACACCTACCAGCTGGACGTGTGAGTGTGTGTGAAGGTTTTCATGTCTCATGTATATTATCCTATCGCCAACAGTAAGCCAAGTGAATGCCATGACTGACAGCATCTGGGTCGTGGTACAGTCGTCTAAGAAAATGAATGAAAAAGCAACAACAAAAAGACAGTGCCGGGGGAAGAATAGGATAAGGAGGAAGTACAGAGTGTGGTTGGAAAGGAGGAGTTTGTGGAATTAAAAACATGGGAGAGAAGCAACACATGACTCATTGTGGAACAAGAGTGAAATGGGACTGCACTTAGAGGGATGTTGCGCATAAGGCTTGATTATTGTGCGGGCCAGCAGCCTAATGCATGAAAGCTGTATCCCCTGTAGTGTTCCAAGAGTGGCTTTGTAGTGCCCTAAGGGAGTGCTCTACAGAGGCAGCCCACATACAATGACAGATTTGCTTTGCCCTTTTGCACAGAGATAGCAGAATAAAATCAGCACGGATAACTTTAGAGACCTGCGTCACGACCCTCATTGGTTTTCTACGTGTTATAGAAGCAAATTTGGGGTGGTTTGGAGGTGTCTGATCCCCAAATTAGGGGAACATTTTCCCATAAAATAAAAATTCTGCAATCATTTATTAACTCTCATTTTCTCCAATGAAACTATAAATGGGGTTGAATGTTGTTTGGATTCTTAAAAAAAAATAACTTTTTTGTGTGTTTTGCAGAAGATGTAAACTCGGACAGCTTTGGAACAACAGAAGGGTGAGTGGACATTTGTGCGTTAACATACTTTTAAGAGTTAATGGAATCAAATAAAAAGGTTTACATTTACTAGACAACATAAGTAAATGTTACTTATGGGAAGAAAACCGGAAGTGTCGCTTTTAATCATAGGAGAGTCACGGATTTAATGGTGTATTGTTGTGTTTATTGTAGAAATTAAGTTGTTCTAAAAATTACATACATTTCTTTCATACTTTAGATTAGACTATATACAATGAAATTCATTTATAAATAAAATATTTTTATACATATAATTCAGAACTTAAATAAGCAGGAACAAACTACTGTATATCAACGCATTTTCATCCTAGGGCATCATATAGTGACGCTTTTGACAATGCGTAGACATCCAACGCACATGGCACCCTTTAGCGTCAATAATGCTTCGGTTATGGGTAGGTTTAGGTCTGGGGTAGGGTTAGGGTTGGGGTAGGGTTAGGGTTAGACCACTAGAAGGCGCCTTCTGGCCCATATATATCTGGGTCTCATATTGACGCTAAAGGGTGCCATATGCGTTGGATGTCTACGCTTTGGCAAAAGCGTTACTATGTGACGCCTTGGGATGAGAACGGGCTGACTATATACAGTACATATCCTATATTGGATATTAACATCCAATAGTGTAAATCGCTATAGTAGCTTAAGGTTGGTAGTCCAAGGCATTTTTGTCTAGCTGTAGCCTACTTCTGTGGTTCGAAACTTCGAAAGACTCGATTTCGATTTCAAAATGGCGGCTGCATGAAATCAGCGTATTCCCACTATTACTGACTTTCAAAGCGGGGGGGTGACACTGGAAAACTGAACTCCACACTGGAAATCGAAATATATAGGAATGAGGACAAAGTAAAATTATTTAATTTCAGCTAATTAAATATATTGAAGTTCCTTTAGTCTATCAAGTAAATTGAGTCGCAGTGAGGCTATGTACGTACTACTATCAGCATGATTTCATATACCGAGCCATCACTGTTCTGTTCCTGTGTACAGTAACTCGTCAGCAAGGGTACAAGAATAGTTACAACAAAGCCAGTTTTAACCAGACTTCAGGAGAATCTAATGATGCACAACCACAATCAAATGTTAAAATTCCCTGAGGTACCTTTCTCTTTTTTTCCCCTCGCTGGCTCATTATTTCTTCCTTCCTAAACTCTTTAAGTCTTGCTGCTTCTAGCACCTACCAGGAGTGTGTTTCAATCTTCATCCTCCTGTTTGTGGTTATATCTTTATAATCAATGTTTCACAATTGTTTATTTTGTTTTTTGAAACCTTATCTATAAATTCTGATGTTGTAGTATCAAGAGCCTTACTTGCTAATGTAAACTGTCATTACACCTAATACACTCGTGACTCGTCAATTAATACCATGAATATTTATGCACATATGCAGTCTATAGGTGTAAATAACTTCTAAATGTGTTATCTGTGTGTTTTAGAATGTCTATGGCAGACGTAAATGTGAATTATGTCTTTATTAGATTGGCTTATATGTCTAGGCCCTCTGAAAATGTGCTTTGATTGCTCTGATTAGATGAAATCCATTTCAGACACTTTTGCAGGGCTATTCAAAATAAAGTGTCCACTAGAGATTGGGCAGAAAATTGATGCTGTTCTTTTTTATAGCATTGAGGTTTGCTTAAGTAGATCATCTTGAAGACTGTAAAACATAATGAAAATACTGCCATGTTTACAAAAGAAACAAGAAGTTATTTGGCTTCACAACAATCCCAGTTGGATCATGGCACCAAAATAATGTGACACACTTGTTCAGTCACACAGAAAGACCCGAACCTTAAATTCAAGCATTTGGGCGCCTTTGGCCAAAAATGAAACCCATTTACAACACTTTTAAAACACACTAGTTGGATTTTTCTACTATCACTGTTAACCTGTGAACATTTTGTAACCCCCCTCCCAACCCCCACAACCTGTAATGGACAAATTGCTTTTTCATCTTAAACCACCATTAAATGCACAATTAAATTTTTTAAAACCTTTTTTATTTAACAAGGCTACAGCTTTATTTGATATGACTCACAGTGAAAATATTCTGCTTGCAAGTGATATTTCCCGTGACTTCTTCACAGATCACATATTTCTCATACCATATTTTCACACTTCAACATATTCTTGTACAGCACAAGTAACCTTGGTAAACAAGGTTACTTCTTACCTTTATTAGTATCAAAATTTTGGGTTATGGTATCAAACCAAAACTGAGGGACAGGCATAATCTGTGTAATGATAAATATCAAATTCACACAATAAATGCTATTATGATTTTACGTATATAATTATAATGATTCTACAGTACATGCAATAATTCATATTTTTAGGAATATCACATTGAAACTTTTTTCAAATTAATTGTTTAATGTGAACTTACAATTTTTTGTTTATTTTTTAAGTTGGATTTAAAAGTGCCCTATAGTTAAAGAAACATCCATTTGCATCTGGAAAGTTTTTCAGCATTTTACATCACTACCTACTATGACAACACAAGATTATAATTAGTTAGAGACGTCAAGTCACGCTTTAGACAAAAAGAGAACGACAAGCTGTCAGACTTTTCCTGTCTGTCTTGACAGAAGCATTGTATTTAGTTAATCGTTGTCTTTCTTTCTCCTCTGCCTACTTACAGACCCACTTCCGCTCTGTGTTTCTCATATTTGCTCACGCTCTCTTTAAAACAACTTTCATGCACTCTGCATTGGCCATGATTTACTGATTTCATCAATTTATGTTACTATAAAGAAATCGATCAAACTAAATCTAGTGTTAAGTATTTGGACACTTAAGAGACACTTAGAAATGTATGGATGTTGCCTTAAAACAACATTCACATAAGGAAAGATCATAAAAAGAAGTTTAGGTTCAGTTTCAATTTCTGCACACGTAATGGAACATGTACATAGTAATTATGAAGAACTACGTCTGAAGTGGAACTCAGCTCAAGGAAATATTAATAATCAATAACTTGTTATGATTATTAATGCATATGGGTCCGTTAATTGGATTAACTTGACATGGCTAAATTAATCTTACAATAAATTAATCAGTTCGTCCAAACTCTTTTGATT